AAGCGGAATTCCGCGTGCTTCAAAACCTCGCAAACAGCATGGAAGCGGAATTCCGCGCGCAAGAAAACCTCGCAAATATCGCGGGGCTCGAATTCCGGGATGTCGAAACCCTCGCAAACATCGTGGGACAACCTCGCAAATATCGTGGGACACGAATTCCGGGACGTCGAAACCATCGCAAATATCGTGGGACTCGAATTCCTCGAAACCATCGCAAATTTCGCGGGACTCGAATTGCGGGATGTCGAAACCGTCGCGCAAATATCGTGGGACTCGAATTCCTCGAAAACCTCGCAAATATCGTGGGACTCGAACTCCTCGAAAACCTCGCAAATATCGTGGGACTCGAATTCTGGGATGTCGAAACCATCGCAAACATCGTGGGACTCGAATTCCTCGAAACCCTTGCAAATATCGTGGGACTCGAATTCCGGGGCCTCGAAAACCTCACAAATATCGTGGGACTCGAATTCCGGGATGTCGAAACCATCACAAATATCGTGGGACTCGAATTCCGGGATGTCGAAACCATCGCAAATATCGTGGGACTCCAATTCCTCGAAAACCTCGCAAATTTCGTGGGACTCGAATTCCGGGATGTCGAAACCATCGCAAATATCGTGGGACTCGAATTCCGGGATGTCGAAACCGTCGCAAATATCGTGGGACTCGAATTCCTCGAAAACCTCGCAAATATCGTGGGACTCGAACTCCTCGAAAACCTCGTAAATATCGCGGGACTCGAATTCCGGGGCCTCGAAAACCTCGCAAAACTCGCGGGGCTCGAATTCCTCGAAAACCTCGCAAATATCGCGGGGCTCGAATTCGTCCGGGGTTACGAAACCCTCGTAGTTTTGTTGGGACTCGAATTCCGGGGCCTCGAAAACCTTCCAGTTTCCAGAGACAGGAGTACGCCAGCCCAAGTCCAAGCGCACACAGTTCAAACGCATATCCGTCTCTTGGACAGTTCTGGTTGAATGTGATGCTTCTGCTTTGCGTGGTCTATGTACGCGACGCCTCGGCTACGACGCTCGGAAGGCGCCGTGTCCGGCGCTCAGATGAGGCTTTCGCGCGTAGGTTTTGCCAGGGTCTTCCATGTCCTTGCGCGGGTTATGTGTGGAGAAGGCCCACGGTTTTGGTTGCGGTGCTGCACGTGTGTGTCCCGTAGTATCTTTCTGACCAGCATGGTCCCTCACGCAATGCGACTTGTCTGTACCTCTGCAGCCGCATGCATTTGTTTCCTGGAACGAGTCAGCACGTCGCCCCGTGGAAGAGCCCGGCAGGCCTTTGCGTGTCGTGGGAACGTGCAGAAGCATGGCTGCGGGTTCCGAGTTTGGAGAGATTGCGAAGAACATTCGTGGCCCGCTGCAGGACTCCAAGAAGGAAGCGCTCGCCGACCTCCGGTGTCTTCGCCAGTGCTCCACTGCGGGCGATCTTGTGGCCTGTGCTGCGGGTCCGAAGGCGCCCGCCTCTCCGCCCTCCAGCAGCAGGCAGTCTTTGACTCTTTGCGGCCTGAACGTGCAGTATCCGTGGAGTCGGCTCCTCATGGCAGGTCGCAAGACGATGGAAGTCAGGAAGTACGCTCTGGGGAAGTACCGCTGCTTCTCTGCGGGCGAGCAGCTGTTCCTCATCGAGACTCTGGGCAGCGGCTCCACGCAGGGCGCCATGGTGGACATCGCGATGGTCCCCACTTCGTTGAAGGCGCAAGTGCTCGGCGTCATCGTTTTTGCGGGCAGCATCGAGTTTGAAAATTACGACCACTTCGATGCTCATCGACCGGATACCCTGATCGAGCAGGGTAGCTTCTATGATTGGGGGACGTCGGAGCCCCAGACGCTGTTCGGTTGGTACGCGCAGCACGTTCGTGCCTTCAAGCGGCCTGCGCCAATGGGGCACATACGGAAGTCCCTGCCCGGCTGGACCAAGCCGGTAGAGCTGTTGGTGGACTTCAAGAGCAGAAGCCGCTTGAATGCTATGCAGTTCCAGTGCATAGCACGCGCAGTATACAAGTGCAGTATACAAGTGAATATGCAACCATGTAAGTGCATACACTTCTGCAAGTGCATACAGTTCGACTGCAAAGAGTCAAGTGCATGGAGTCAACGCACGGCAGATCGATGCTTTCGGGCCATCCCTCTTCTAGTTTTTATTTTTTTTTGGGACAGTACAGCATTTTTGCACTTTTTGCGGGACAGTACAGCAGTTTGGAGGCCTGGGACTGCAAAAATGCTGCACTGTCCCAAAAAACCGATGTTTTTAAGCTAAAACGAGCAAAAATGCTGTACTGTCCCAAAAAAACGAAAAATAAACAAAGTTTGGAGAACTTGGGCGTCTCCAGGGCCTGGAGGTCTCCAAACTTTGGTTTTTGTGGATTTTTTGGGACAGTACAGCATTTTTGCACTTTTTGCTTTAAAATGACTGTTTTTTTTTGGACAGTACAGCACTTTGGAGGCCTGGGACTGCAAAAAACGCTATACTGTCCCAAAAAAAACAATCTTTTAAGCGGATTCACAATTTTTTTTACAGGAGTCCTATTGGTTCCTATTCATTTTAGTAAGATTCCTTCTCATTTTAACAGGATTCCTATGAATTATAACCGGTTCTTTTCAATTTGGAAAGGGTTCCTATTCATTTTGATAGGCTTCCTATTAACTTTTATCGGTTCCGAAAAGTATTGGCAGGATTCCTATGACTTCAATAGAGGATTCCTATTTATGTCTATAGGATTCCAATAAAGTTTCATAGGGTTCCTAATTATTCTAATAAGGCTCCTACTTTTGCAATAAGATTCTTATTCATGTTAATGGGATTCGTATTAATTTTAATAGGGATCTCATTCATTTGCAAGGGATTCGTATTGGTTTAGGCTCATATTCATTTAGTAGAATTCCTATTAAATTCTTGTTTAAAGGAATCTTATTTTGTTCATAGGAGCCCTATTAGTTTCTATTAATCTTAGTAAGAATCCTTCTCATTTTAGTAAGATTCCTATGAATTACCACTGCGTTCTTTTTGATTTGTCAAGGTTCATTCAAATAGGCTTCCTATTAGCTGTTATCCGAAAACACTTTGATAGGATTCCTATGAATTCAATGAAAGATTCATACTTATTTTCATAGGAAGCCAACCAATAAAGTTTCATGGGGTTCCTAATTATTTGAATAAGGCTCTGATCGGGTTCCTATTCATGTTAAGAGGCTTCCTATTAACTTTTTATACAGTCCGATCAATAAGGGTTCCTATGGATTTAAATAAAGGATTCCTATTTTTCTGTTTATAAGATTCCAATAAATTTTCATAGTTTGCCTAATTATTTTAATAAGGCTCCTACCAAATGTAACATGATTCCTCTCAAATTTTAATAGGATTCTGCCATTTGAATAGGGTTCCCATAGAATTCATTTAAGGGTTCTCATTCATGTTAAAGGGTTTCCTTTTCATTTTAATAAGATTCCTACTAAAACAAAATGAATCCTATGAACCCCATTAAATTTGATAGGAACGCTATTCACATGCAGAGGATTTCGATTTAAATTCATAGCATGCAATCCACAATCTCGAGCAAATTGTTCAGGTCACTTCTGCTGGAGTTTTTATGGGAGTCCCTCCCCCCTTTAAAAACCACCGCGCACGAGGGAACGTAGCGCTTTTTATCTGGAAACCATGCTGAAGCGTGGGCGCATGGGGGGGGGGGTAGCATATACATATATATATATATATATATATGGTTCAGCCCCGGCGGGCTACCCCCCCCCCCCCCCCCCCGATGATACCCCCCCCCACCCCCCTGTGGTGTTGGTTGGGGGTTGGTTTAGGTTTTAGGTTTTAGGGTTTAGGGTTTAGGGTTTTAGGGTTTTAGGGTTTAAGGGTTTTAGGGTTTTAGGGTTTTAGGGTTTTAGGGTTTTAGGGTTTAGGTTTTTAGTTTTTAGGGTTTAGGTGGGTTTTAGGGTTTAGGTTTTCCCCCGCGGATGGGTACTAAAATGATAGCCCCCCCCCCTGTTGTGTGGGGGTTGGTTTTTAGGTTAGGGTTTATGGGTTTAAGGGTTTAGGGTTTTTAGGGTTTAGGGTTTAGGTTTAGGTTTAGAGGTTTAGGGTTAGGGTTTAGGTTTAGGTTTTAGGGTTTTAGGGTTTAGGGTTTTAGGGTTTTAGGGTTTAGGGTTTAGGTTTAGGGTTTAGGGTTAGGTTTAGGGTTTAGGGTTAGGTTTAGGTTTAGGGTTTAGGGTTTAGGGTTTAGGGTTTAGGGTTTAGGGTTTTTAGGTTTAGTGTTTAGGGTTTAGGGTGGGGTTTTAGGGTTTAAGTTTTTGGGTTTGGGTTTTAGGGTTTAGGGGTTAGGGGTTAGGTTTTAGGGTTTAGGTTTAGGGGTAGGGTTAGGGTGGGTTTAGGGTTAGGGTTTTAGGGTTTAGGTTCGGTTTAGGTTTAGGGTTTAGGGTGTAGGGTTAGGGTTTAGGGTTTAGGGTTTAGGGTTAGGGACCGTAGAATAACTTTGGGGGGGGGGGGGGGGGGGGGGGGGGGGGGGGGGGGGGGGGGGGGGGGGGGGGGGGGGGGGGGGGGAGGGGGGGGGGGTGGGGGGGGGGGGGGGGGGGTGGGGAGGTCCATGGGGGGGGTGGGTGGGGGGGGGGGGGGGGGGGGGGGGGGGGGGGGGGGGGCCGGGAACGCCCGACGCTGAACCATATATGTATACATCCCCTGTTTTCGGGAAATCCCCATATGGGGTACCGAAGAAGGGGACCATTCTTGCGAAAACTACCCAAAATGCTGAACCCAGAAGGCCAAAAATGCCTCAAAGACCGAACTCCAACGACCCCCTCGACATCAACGATTTTGCCCCGCCGAAACCCTAAACCCCAAACCTAAACCCTGAACCCCTCCTGCAAGTTTCCTCATCACGTCAAGACTGAACTTCCACCATCGCGATCACACCCGACACCCTGAACCCCAGATCCTAGGCTGAATCCCAGCACCCATAGCAAAAAATCCCAAAACCCCATGGGGCCTAAACCTTAAACCTCGTGGTCCTGCAGGCTTAACAGCGACACCAGGGCCGACGCTGCTTCCTCCCCAGCCGCGCCACCTTCAGGGCAGGGGCACTTAGGCTCGGCAGGACTTTCTTTAGGGGAGGAGGGTGGATCCGGAGAATGTGTGTGTGTGTGTGTGTGTCCCGGAGAATGTCTGTGTGTGTGTGTCGGGTTTTCAAGGCTCCGCATTTAAGGGTTCGGGGGTCAGCAGTTCAGGGGCCTCGGAACTTTGCGGTTTAGTGAGGGTCTAAGCCCGGAGCTTGGGACGATGGGATCTGAAAGAGCCAAACCAAAACTCGCGAAGGAGCTGCAGGGATTTCCTCAGCTCTCAGTGTTGAAACCCACTGTTGAAACCTCGGATCTCCTGGCACGGTTTAGGGTTTAGGGTTTAGGGTTTAGGGTTTGGATTCGACAAAGAAGATTAAGATCGCCTACAGCGAAGTTCTCAGGTCGCGGTGTGCAGCCCATCGATCCATCGATCCGGCTTCCCGGCGTGATACTTTGGGGAGCTCGTGCCGCGCTTGGGCCGGGCAAGCAGCATGCCCAGATGAGCAAATGGGTCAGAAAAATATGAGACATTCCATCCAAGGAGGTCCCTGCAGTGCTCAATCATGCTTTTGTGTCCAACGCTCCTCCAAGCTCTGGTTGAATTGTTGGCCGAAGGTCAAAGGCGAAGGTCAAGGTCTTCAGTCCGTCCCTCCAAGCTTGAAAAACTCCCCAAAAGTCATCCAAGCCCTGGATGAAATCAAAGCCGAAGGTCAAGGTCTGTAGGCCTCTGGGAAGCTGCAAGTCCCTCCAAGCTCTGGTTGAAACTGCTGCCGAATGTCAAGGTGTGTAGGCCGCTGGGAAGCTGCAGTCCCTCCAAGCTCTGGTTGAAGCCAAAGCCGAAGGTCAAGGTCTGTAGGCCGCTGGGAACCTGCAAGTCCCTCCAAGCTCTGGTTGAGTCGGCTGCCGAATGTCAAGGTCTGTAGGCCGCTGGGAAGCTGCAGTCCCTCCAAGCTCTGGTTGAAACTGCTGCCGAATGTCAAGGTCTGTAGGCCGCCGGGAAGCTGCAAGTCCCTCCAAGCTCTGGTTGAAGTCAAAGCCGAAGGTCAAGGTCTGTAGGCCGCTGGGAAGCTGCAAGTCCCTCCAAGCTCTGGTTGAATCGGCTGCCGAAGGTCAAGGTCTGTAGGCCGCTGGGAAGCTGCAGTCCCTCCAAGCTCTGGTTGAAGCCAAAGCCGAAGGTCAAGGTCTGTAGGCCGCTGGGAAGCTCCAGTCCCTCCAAGCTCCGGTTGAATCGGCGGCCGAAGGTCAAGGTCTTTAGGCCGCTGGGAAGCCGCAGTCCCTCCAAGCTCTGGTTGAAACTGCTGCCGAATGTCAAGGTCTGTAGGCCGCTGGGAAGCTGCAGTCCCTCCAAGCTCTGGTTGAAGCCAAAGCCGAAGGTCAAGGTCTGTAGGCCGCTGGGAAGCTGCAGTCCCTCCAAGCTCTGGTTGAATCGGCTGCCGAAGGTCAACGTCTGTAGGCGGCTGGGAAGCTCCAGTCCCTCCAAGCTCTGGTTGAATCGGTGGCCGAAGGTCAAAGTCTTTACGCCGCTGGGAAGCTGCAGTCCCTCCAAGCTCTGGTTGAAAAACTCGCCAAAGGTCATGGTCTGTAGACCGCTGGGAAGCTGCAGTCCCTGCAAGCTCTGGTTGAAGTCAAAGCCGAAAATCAAGGTCTGTAGGCCGCTGGGAAGCTGCAGTCCCTCCAAGCTCTGGTTGAATCGGCTGCCGAAGGTCAAGGTCTGTAGGCCGCTGGGAAGCTGCAGTCCCTCCAAGCCCTGCTTGAAACCACAAATGAAGGTCAAGGTTTGTAGCCCGCTGGGAAGCTGCAGTCCCTCCAAGCTCTGGTTGAAGTCAAAGCCGAAGGTCAAGGTCTGTAGGCCGCTGGGAAGCTGCAGTCCCTCCAAGCTCTGGTTGACATCAAAGCCGAAGGTCAAAGTCTGTAGGCCGCTGGGAAGCTGCAGTCCCCCCAAGCTCTGGTTGAAGTCAAAGCCGAAGGTCAAGGTCTGTAGGCCGCCGGGAAGCCGCAGTCCCTCCAAGCTCTGATTGAATCTGCTGCCGAATGTCAAGGTTCGCAGGCCGCTGGGAAGCTGCAGTCTCTCCAAGCTCTCGTTGAAATCAAAGCCGAAGGTCAAGGTCTGTAGGCCGCTGGGAAGCTGCAGTCCCTCCAAGCTCTGGTTGAAGTCAAAGCCGAAGGTCAAGGTCTGTAGGCCGCTGGGAAGGTGCCGTCCCTCCAAGCTCCGGTTGAATCTGCTGCCGAATGTCAAGGTCTGTAGGCCGCTGGGAAGCTGCAGTCCCTCCAAGCTCTGGTTGAAGCCAAAGCCGAAGGTCAAGGTCTGTAGGCCGCTGGGAAACCGCAGTCCCTCCACGCTCTGGTTGAAGTCATAGCCGAAGGTCAAGGTCTGTAGGCCGCTGGGAAGCTGCAGTCCCTCCAAGCTCTGGTTGAAGTCAAAGCCGAAGGTCAAGGTCTGTAGGCCGCTGGGAAGCCGCAGTCCCTCCAAGCTCTGGTTGAATCTGCAGCCGAATGTCAAGGTCTGTAGGCCGCTGGGAAGCTGCAGTCCCTCCAAGCTCTGGTTGAAGCCAAAGCCGAAGGTCAAGGTCTGTAGGCCGCTGGGAAACCGCAGTCCCTCCACGCTCTGGTTGAAGTCAAAGCCGAAGGTCAAGGTCTGTAGGCCGCTGGGAAGCTGCCGTCCCTCCAAGCTCTGGTTGAATTCGTCGCCGAAGGTCAAGGTCTGTAGGCTGCTGGGAAGCTGCCGTCCCTGCAAGCTCTGGTTGAATCTGCTGCCGAGGGTCAAGGTCTGTAGGCCGCTGGGAAGCTGCGGTCCGGCGCCTTTACGCTTTGCGATCAGGATGTGCAACGTTGTGCACGGTTGCCGTTCAACTTCCTGCCCGATGCAGTTACAGCTGTTAGCTGAGACTTCGATCACGATGTCAACCGAGCCTCTAGAACCATTTTTGCTCTGATCCCGCATTTGCTGGAGGGAGTTCCTGCCCAACTCCCCAACGGCAGTGCAATTGATCTGCAACCACTCCAAATGTCCGCAGCTCTCCCTTGACAAGCCTGCGGCCAAAGCGACGGCATCCTCGTCGCGCAGATTGCCACACTCGATCTGGATGTCGGAAGCACCCGACTCAACTACACCGAGAGCTACTTTCCAAGCATGCTTCGAGCTTGCATTTACAACTAGCTCTTCCAGCTTGCTGTAGAAAGGCAGGGCCGCAACCAAAGTTGCAAGCTTCGCATCATCCAGGTCCTCTACAAGAAGCCTTGTTGTGGAAGCCGTCTTCTCCTTGAAGATCTTCTCCTGAAGCTCGAAAACCTTGCCGGCATCGTCCCGATGCGTGAACTGAAGCTGCGTCATTTGTGCCCGGAACATGTCAGGGGGAAGGGGCACTGCATTCCCATCCTTAAGTGAAGCCCTGAGGGCTGCCCACTGAGCCTCTGTCTGACACCAGCCTCTTTCCTCGTAAGGTGTGGGGTTCAACTTCAGCTTCCAGATAGGCACTTGCATCACTTGGCCTCCCTCTTCCCAGTAGACTGGGATCCTCCAGCTGCAGCGGTTGGCTGCAAGACACTCATCACGAACGCTCTGCGGAGTAAGCAGCGTTATCCGATACACTTCGATGGCCTCGTGCGCATAAAGCAGATGCATATTGTCGAGCGCCTGCTTGAAGAGGCTCGCCTGATCTTCATCTCTGATGTACTGGTGCAGGGAGACAAAGTCGAAGAAGATCCACACTAAGCTACCCAGTGCTCGTGGACGGTATTGCTTGACAACGGCGTCGAGCTGAAACCTGTTGAGCTTGGACAGGGCATCATCCCCACATGCTTGGTGAATTTTGCTAGTCAGGAGGGGCGAGCATGCTAAGCTATTCCTTGGGAGACGCCCCCTCCTGACCCCTTCCCGCAAGCGAACCTCCAGGGATCCGGATGCTGCATGCTCTCCCAGACGTGGCTCACTGACACAAGCCGAACGGTGACCGGTCTCGGCGTTGGGTGCTGGATCATCGTGGACAAATGGCCCGACTCGTCGTTGATCCTGACTTCGTTCAGTTCCTTGGCGTCAACGAGGGCTGGGGCTCCTGAGGCGGTCGTCTCGTTCTCGGCCTCCTGGCGTCGGGGAAAGGTTCTCCCTGATTCAAGAAGTTCGATGAGATACTCAAGGCGAACGAGGCGGACGTCCGCATCCTGAAGGAAGCAAAGCAGACTCCGGGGGTCCGTCAACCCATAGCTCTTGGCCTCACAGGCCGTAGTCATAATGGTCACAGTACTGTTACGTTGAACCGAACCAGCTGTGTAGATGCAAAATTCCTGGTCCTCAGAAGGGAAGTAGAAAACTCGGCACCCCATACTAATCCTCTGAAAGGGCTACAGAGGGGATATAAGGTACCCAACTCCCAAATGCACAACAACGAAATACTAAGCCAGCAATACAGTAGCTCAAGGGACTAAGGGAGGGACCCTTATAAGGGACCTTAGGGTTATTTAGGGGAATAAGATTAAGGGTCCCTGCTTATACCCCTTAAGCAGCAGGCAAAGCGTCTTCAGGGCTAACAGAAGCGACCCGGGCCTGCCATGCATGCTGCCTTCAAGGCGTCCGCGGCTCCTGTCTTCGCAGGGGGGTTGGGTTCAGGGTTCAGGGTTTAGGGTTTGGGGTTTGGGGTTTGGGGTTTGGGGTTTGGGGTTTGGGGTTTGGGGTTTGGGGGTTTAGGGGTTTAGACTTTGGGGTTCAGCATCTCAAGTCCAAGCAGTTCTGGCACAGCAGCATGAATCTCCCCCCGGCTCCCGGCCCGCCCCTCCCCGCCCCCCTGCCACACCCAAAGGTCCCTTGTCATCCCGCGCGCAGACGCTTATCACTATCTCAAAGAGTCCACTCGCCGCGCATTCGCCCCAAACCAAGAATCTTGCAAGCCCGTTTGGCTTCGGGGCCGCCCACGTCGGCTACTTGTAAGAGAAAGGTTGAACCGAAAATGCAAAGAAGAACAGTGGTAAGCTGTGTAGGACAACTAGAGTCACTAGAGCCACTTTGCAAAGGAGAAGTTGGTTCGGCTCAGGAGAGAAAGCACAGCTGAACAAGGCTTCCGAAGAAGGAACAGTGTGCCTTTTTTGCTGCGGAGAAGTTGAGTGCAGATATATTTGAGAGAAAGCGAAGAAGCACCCATTTTGTTGCGGAGACGTGGGGTTGGAGTGGGAAGAAGTTGTGGGTCGTCCAGGCCTCGCGTGTCTCATCTGTCATGGATAAGTTGCCTGGGTTTGGGAAGAACTTTAGGTCAAACAGGTTTCGAGAAATAACAGGTGCCATTCAGTGGCAGGGTGTGGGAAGAAACTGCAGGTCGATCAGGCTTCAAAAAAAATGAACGCCGGTTCGTCACGCAGAAGTTGGCTTGGCTTGGGGCGAAATTGGGGTTTATTTGCTAGTCCTTCGTAAGCAGTTTGGGAATTGGGGACCTATATCCCCCTACATGACACTCTATAAGAGATTCTTCAGGCCCCACTGAGCAGAAGAAGCAGTTGCAACCCACAGGGTTTCGGGTCAATGGGAATTGGGATCAGGGCTTAGGCTTCGCCTTAAACCCTAACCCAAAGTCCTACACCCTAAGCCCTGAACCCTAAGCTCTAATGATGTGTCTTACGAAGATACTGTGCTTTACCGAAGACACTCTGTTTTACTAGTTCCTCGCAGGCGTGTGGGGAACTCGGTGCCTTACAGCCCCTGTATACCCCTTTAAGGGGTTCTAGGTGGGGTACCTTCTGTCATTCCCTTGAGAACCAGTAAGGCGTTCAGTTGAAGGAGACGGGGTTGTCTGTTGGAGACAGCTGAGGCTTAGGAGGGCGTAGGGCTCAGGATCGGGGTTCGGGGAAAAACCCGGACGGTCCTTGAGAAAGCAGGAGCTCCTTCGCGTTGCACCTGAAGCCCCCAACCCCCATTAGGGGCAAAACCACCAAACACCACCCTAAGCCTGAGACCTTCAAGGCTTTGGGGCACTGGGCCGAGGGGAGGGCTGGGGAGGACTTGCGGTTTAGGACTCTGCGTCAAGGATTCTTTGAGGGTTCAGGGCGTTGGGGTAGATGGGTTTAGGGTTTTGGGTTTGGGGTTTAAGGCTTGGGATTTAGGGTTTAGTATTGCGATTCATTAATTTTGACTATTTTTAAAGCATGAAAGAGCCAAGTCGCACGGGCGATAATCCGAACATCTTTTGACTCTCGAGGCCTTAAACCCTATCCTGCACCCGAAGCCACGTAGAATCCTTAAGGCCTGTAAACCCTCAACCCCTAAACCCAAGAAGCCCCCGGAACTTTAAGCCCTGTGCAGCTTAAAGCCCTGCAGCACCCTAAACCCCACTGATTCTGGTCATTACAGGAGCCTTCCGACCCGGCAAAGGGCGCCCAAAGCGCGGGCGCAGCGCTCGGCCGTCTCCTGATAGGCAGGCAGCGGTTTTTTTTTCAGGTTCTATGAGGGCTTTAGGGTTTAGGGATTAGGGTATAGGGTTTAGGGTTTAAGGTTTCAGGTTCAGGGTTTAGGGTTTTGGGTTTAGGGTTTAGGGTAGGATTCAGGATTTATAAGGTTTGCATGAGGGCTTTAGGATTCAGGTTTAAAGGGTGCTCAGTGTTGACAGGGGTTTGGTCGGGTTCTCATGAGGGCTCGCAAGGATCTATTGGGAGGTTTGTTGCAGTTGGGTTGAAGTTTCAACGGCTCTGACATGCCTCTCCTGCAGCCTTTATGGACACCTCTTAGTTCTCCCTTATACTAACAGTCCTTAATTGGGATCATAGTAGGGGGTACTACAATCCCAAAAAAGGACTGTTAGCACAAGGGGAACATCCCAAGACACCTCCCACAGACTCCCCCCCTCCTTTGCCCGAGTTGTCTGCCGGCGCAGGAAGACCTGGGTGGTCTGGGGCTTAAGGGCTCGAGGGCTTCGGCTTTAGTTTAGGGGTCTGGGGCTTAATGTTTAAGGGTTAGGGGGCTCCAGAGCTTTCGGGTTTAAGGCTTCGGGCGATTTAAAGGCTTAAGGGTTTAAGGGCAGCGAAAGCGTTTGGAGGATCAAGGTCTTTCAGAGACTGGGGGGGGGGGGGGGGGGGGGGTGCTTGAGGTTCAAAAGCAGCTGGAGGGGCGGGTTCGGACTGAATCTTCTCAGAGATGTTGCCATCTTTCGCCACAGTTCGCTCTATGCAGCTACCGAACACTACCGCAGCGCCCTCGTCTGACAAGACTGGGCAAGAACCCTGCATAGCAGCAACATTGAGCAACTCCATATGGCCCTTTTCTTACTGTTGGTTAGCATGGAATGAGGGAATTAGGGCCCTATAAATAAATATGCTAGATATAATATATATTAAATAAATAATATGTATGTATATATATATATACATATCCTTTAAAAGACTATATAGGGGAACTCATTCCCCCATTTCATATTAACCAACAGTAAGTGTTTGGATCCTGGACCCTTGTTTTAACACCTGACCCTGTACCAGCCCCCATGGCTAGCAAGCAGGCTTCCCAAACCTCTCCACATGAAAAACCCTAAACCCGAAACCCTAAACTGGCCCTAAACCCGAAACCCGAAACCCGAAACCCTAAACCCGAAACCCTAAACCCTAAACCCTAAACCCTAAACACACGCCCGGGCCCAACGAGGTTGCAACAGTGTTTAGGGAGCCTTTAGGTTTAGAGCCGCTCACATGCGCCCCAACCTCGAACACTCCCCCAAGCCTTAAGCCTTAAGCACACAAAGGTCCTCTGAGAAAACAGAACAAGATGCACACTTGCTAAGAGCTACTGGGGTGTCTTGCTGAGTACGTAAGAGAAGCGCGAAGACAAGGGGCAACGGAACCCTAAGCAGCTAGTCGGGGTGCCCAAAAGACCCGAACCCCCAAGAAACAACCGAAGACCAGAACCCAAAGATAGCCAAAAACAACCCGAAGCCCCGAAACACAAAATGCAAAACCTCATCCCTACCGCCTTAAAACCCCAAACCCTTAACCCCGAACCCAATTTCAACACGAAGAACAAAGATGGGGCCTGGAGAATCTGCGTGAAGATCGGGCCGCCCCCATCTCCTCGGGCGGCGAAGGGGGCTAGGGAGTAGACGGGGGAAACCTCGGCAACAGCCCCATTTGCAGCTGTGGGGGGGTTCAGGGGCTTGGTTTAGGGCTCTTGGTTTATAAGTGCAAAACCCTTGTCGCGGGGTTTTGGTGTCTGGGCTGAGGGCTTCGAGCCCTAAACTCACTCGCCAAATCATATCTACGCCCACACACACCTCCCCCCTTAGAGCCAAAGCCCTCAGCCCCGATATAAACTTCCAAACCCTTAGGGCCCTTTCCCTACACCCTGAAGTCTAGAGTTCCCAACCCTTAGAGCCCTACCTTGAACGCCTAGCTACCCAAAAAGCTGCCACTATACCCCCAACACAGGAATTCCCAACCCTTAGAGCCCTAAACCCCTTGGGCCAAACGGCCAAGCAGGCGGAAGGCGATGTTGTGCTGGTGCGACGTCATGTCTTCCAGCAGGGCCACTCCGGCGTGGATGACATCCTGTGTGGCTTTCATTGGGTGGTTTAGGGCTTAGGGCTTAGGGCTTAAGGGTTTAGGGCTCAGGGCTAGGGCTTAGGGCTTAGGGGCTTTTGGGGGGTCTCTAACCCGTAACATCGCCCGCCCAAAACATAACCTCCATAACCCTGAACCCTAAACAGCTCCAAAAGAGAACCAAAGCCCCAAGCACTCACTCTAAGCCCTAGAAATCCACCCGAGAATCCCAAGAACCCCAAGAACCCCAACAACCCCAAGAGCGCCAAGACCCCCAAGATTCCCAAGAACTGAAAGAACCCCAAGAACCCCAAGAATCCCATCAAAACCCCAAGAACCCCACGAAAACCCCAAGAATCCCCACATTTCCTAAATCCAAAGGGCCCCACTAAACCATCCTGAGACTCCCTGAAACCCTAAACCCTAAACCCTAAACCCTAAACCCTAAACCCTAAACCCTGAACCCTGAACCCTGAACCCTGAACCCTGAACCCTGAACCCTAACCCTAAACACCCCAAACCCTGTGGCCTCGTCGCCGGACTGGCAGGCGCTGAGCAGGTGGCGGGCCGCCACTCGGAGGAGCTCCGTCGCCTCCCGCCGGGGTGTTCGAGAGGCTTAATTAACCCTAAACCCTAAACCACCCTAAACCCTAAACCTGGGATTTGAGGGCTTGAGGGTTTGCGGCTTGGGGTTTAGGAAGTTTAGGGTCTGGGGTGTCGGGTCTGAGGTTTGGGGCTCAGGCGCGTGAAGGCTGGCGGCCCGCGCCGGCTTAGAAGCTCGTTGCACCGTGGGGGGGCGCACAGGGCGTGGCCGTGAAAACGTGTACCCGGCTTTGCAGAAAAGTCAAAGAACTAGAGGAGATAAGACCTCGGCTGTTAATTACCGGGACTGAATTAGGTGTAGTTTCACAAGATGTTTCAGGGTTTAGTGTTTAGGGTTTAGGGTGCACAGCGCTCAAACCCAGGAGCACCTCCGGCGTCTCTTCACCGTGCTGGTCCCGCCAGCAGCGCTCATCGTGCAACACCCAGATCTCGGAGGGTGTTTGGAGGCTTCGTGTGGCTGCCCGACTTACCTACTGTGGGTTAGTAGGGAATGGGGAATGAGGTACCCTACATAATCCCTTAAAGGGTACATTATAGGGGGATATAGGGTACCCTCATTCCCTCATTCCCGACTAACCAACAGTAAGCTTAGGTTCAAGAACGGGAAGAGCAAAAACATGCAATGTGCATCGATCACTAAAGTCCGAATCTCTTCGAGTCATTTTGTGCTTACGAGTCGCGCGAAAGCTTCCTTGACTTAACAACTCGATTGCCATCCTTAACACACAGCTGCAAGCACCGCTCACCAAATATGCCTAAACGTTACACTCACAATGTGACACGTGCTCATGACATCATGAGTTTAGACCCGAAACACACACATCCTGGCACGTCGATGGTTCAGGAGCTTTGAGTTTAGGGTTCAAGGCTTTCTGGTTTGAGGCTTCGGGTTGGTCTGTTTAAGGTTTAGGGTTTAAGGTTTCAAACCTCAGCTTTCTGGCCCAGGGCTTCGGTTCTTGGCATTTGGGCACTCGCCCGGTGTTTTCAAGCCAGCGCAAGGCGGCGGCTGATTGTACACTTTTGAGCCTGGAGAATGTAAGTCAATGGCTGAACCTGGAATGAGCATAGGCCGAAACAGCAGCACCGGCGAATCCAAAAGAGATATCCCTTAGCGGGCGTCACACCCGTCTGCCTCAACGGAAAAACACCAACTGCCTCAACTCAACCCCAGCAAACTTTCCAAAGCATTCCAAAGCAAGCTTACCACCTCGAGGACTGGTCTCAATCCCCAACGCCAAAACCCACTTTTGCCAGGCCAGGTGGCAAGACGTGCCACAAAGAACTGAGGGGCCTCTGGTCGTGCCAAGGGGTTCAAGGCTCAAAGGGCCCTTTGGCTTAAGGTCAAATACGTGCCCAACCCCACGCCCCGAAGCCCCAAGCCTCCCATCCTAGACCCCACACGTAAAAAAAACCGGCTAGACCCCACGTGGAAGAAACCCTGCTGCCCAGGCAGATCAGGTGAAGCAGGGGAGGTCAGAGTTTCCGGTCTTTTCCGCACGTTTTCGTTCGTCGCTGAGGTTCCGCAGTAGAAGTTACCTCTTCAGGTTGGCTTCTGCTTGGAGGTTCATGGTACTTCTTCTTATAACCCACTTATAAGCCCGTGTGCCCTAATGTCGTTATAAGTACAGTTTTTTTTGGTTAATAATAAGTATCATGAGCCTCCGAGTGGTCTATATAAGTAAGGCTGAGGGTCTGAGAGTTTGGGGGGTTTGAGGGTTTGCGCGTTTGTGGGGTTTAAGTTGAGAGTCTGCTGGAACCGACAAAGGCGTGCAGATAGCTCGCACACTCGAGGCCCCCAAGGCGGCCAAACTGCAGGGGTCCCAAACATTCAAGGGCGTGAGCCCTACACACTGACCCGAAGACCTCAGCCACAAGCGTGAAAAACCAGCAAGCAAACCAGAAAACTCCGAAAAACCGCGAGAGTCCCTGAAACCCAACACCCTGGCATCTTTCTTCCCAGCCTGCTCCAGGAATGTCAGCAGTCCACTGCAGCCGCCCATCGCGCGGGCGAGCCAAGCATAGCACTGCAGGTCCTGGAGGGCTCTGCACCCCGGGATGGGCTTTTAAACCTATACAAGGGCGATTTCTTTCAAAGGGGTTTGTAGGGCATAATAGCCCAGCCGGGAAATTGGAGCCTTGGGTCTTAGGCTGGGTAGGCTAAGTCTGCAGATTTGTGGACAAAAATGACTCAGGGCCCTCTGTCAACTGAGCGGAAGCTGGTAAGGCATTCTCCACAGGGACAGGGTCTTCTCTGGGCCAGGGATCTCTCAGATGGAGTTTATAGAAAACGCCTCGGAAAATCTGGCCATTTTGGCTAATTTCCAAAGGGCGGGCTAAATTCATCTTTCTCCTTGAGACGCAGGAAGCTGGCATGTCATTGTTCTGCTGCTTCGAGTGTCCTTTCGCCCTTTGCCTCATTACCTGCATTTGGCCGAGGGCACGTGCTGCCACTTGCTTGTTTCGCTTAGGACGTGTATTGCCTCCAGCTGTCTTCGCCTCTTGCCATCATGATGAAGGGGATGCTTGGCGATCTATTTTGGGGGGTCCCCTATTTTCGTAAACCCCCAACAAACCATTCCTTTCGACTACGCCTCCAAGACTGCCTGCCTAGCTAATTTTGTCGAAAGCTGCATTGAAGCTGCTAAAGGAGGTGAGAAGCTCTGGATTCTCGCTTGCTTGATTCCCCAAAGCCCTTTGGGAGCAGCGAATGAAATTTGAGTAGCATGGGTACAGAATGGAAAGTTCGGTAGCACATGCAACAGGATCAAGACAATACCCTTTCTACACCCCCTGCCCATGGTCGTCTGCGTTGGCTGTCAACCAGCAGATGAACTGAGGAAGTTAGCATCACTGGGCATGAAGGGGCCGAGTGATTCGGCTCGAGAGGGGCATCAAAAACGTTTCCCGACTGGTTCTCTGCATGGCAGGCAAAGCTTTGCGCGTTCCGTATACGGAGTCTTGGTACTTGGTAGCCCCCGTTGGCTACCTTAAAAGGGAACCTTGAACCAAAAAAAAGGGAAACGGGCACGACTGGGCTACCAAGCACACAAGGCTGAGCTTTGACACCCGAAAGAATCCAGGGGTTCTACCTTGGACCCTGAAGGTTGTGCCTTTGGGTTTTGGGGTCCCTTCTAAGGATCCCTAAGTGAATGTAAGGGCCACAATAGGAGTAAATTAAGGGGAACCTTTGAAGGGTACGAGTCTTCATCCCCCTCAACCCCTAAACCCTAAACCCTCAGCCCCTAAACCCTAAACCCTAAACCCCCTTGATTAAGTCATTCCGGTGTCCTCCGTGCTGTTCTGAAAGGTCAGGCATCGCCGCACAGCCTTGTGCAAATTCTAACTGAGGGGTTACGCAATAAATGGTACCTTATTGGGGGTCCTTCTTATGAGGGAATCTTACTCTATATTAGGGTGCCGTGTTTTTTCGTAAATTCCCAACTTGTGATACAGGCATTGAACGCAAGCTACCCTCAAGGACCGCTGCCGAACGGATACTAGCTCCTGTGCAAGATCAACAGATCAACAAGTAGCTGACCACACGCGTAAGCCCGAAATCCAAAAGAAACACACCCCTGCTGCAGCAAAACATGGGAATGTCGCGCTGCACCGTGACAAGGGCTTCCGAGTGGTTAGGGTTTGGGGCTTGCGCGGTTGCGGGGTTGAGGGGTTAGGGTTTCGGGGGATGAGGGTCACAAGACTGGGTCACACGTGTCTGCTTCACAAAGCAGCCTCAGCAGATCTTTACAGACAGCATTCAAAGCACACAAGATTCAAAGTGAAAGACAACCCCCCCCCCCACCCACCCAACTCTAAGAGCCTAAACCCTAAAATAAGCCTCAAGCCCTCGACGCCTCAACCCCCAACTCTGCATTCGAAGCCCCTCTTTGCCGTCCAAACCCTCAACCCCGACCCCCCCCCCCCGCTTCAAGCCCCCTCTCTAAAACCCTAAACTCTAAACCCTAAACCCAAAATCCACCCCTAACCACCACCTGTGGCGCCTCCAGCCCTCCTGCAGCAAAAGCCCAGGTCGAGGCCGAGGTGCAGCGGTGTAGCAGCCTCGAAAGGGTTTTTGGGGGTGTCATGGGCGTTGGGGAGGGCTTCGCGGGGGCTCCATCTTTCTTCTTCTGGGCTGCCGGGAGTGGGGGTTCACACTGCAGGCTGAAATTCACTTGCAGTTTTCTCGCTGGCATCCATGCTCAACAGCCACCATCTGCCAACGACTGCCGAAGCCGCGCTCAAACAACCTGCGTGGGTCCCTTGTTGGGATGCTCCCCCTTGTACTAACAGTCCTGCGTAGGTATTCTAGTACCCTCTATTAGAATCCCTTTTAGGGACTGTTAGTATTGTAAGGGAGAACATCCCAAGTCTCTTGTTTGAAGACTCTGGCAACAACTGTCGAAGCGAACGCAAAGGGGTCGCCAACCAGCGACAAGTTGAGCCTGAGAGCCTTGTGAATACCCTCGATAAGCTTCTACCTGCAGCTGACATACTTATAACCGAACTACCCATGAACCGGC